GATAATTTCTTAAGAAAGTCTTTTTTTTTTCACAAAGAAAAAAAATGGCAGGCTTTAGTGTGTTCTGATTGTATGGTGGTTCTTGCCGAAGAATTGCTGATCAACTCACTGGAAAACAACTCAAGGCCATCTTTTTGCACTGCATGCAGTTTACAGTAATAATCATAATAAGGCAAGAAACTACAGGCAATAACATAGTTTATTTTTCATGCACTGTTCATTTTTAAGATTTTGGGAACTCGTATACACTAGACTTAATAGTTTTACTCCCATCTCTATTGTGAAGGTTTTTACAGAGGGGTTTGTTCATGTCATTTGCCTGATGTGAAAAACAGATTTTTTTTTTTTTTTGATCGATTGATTATTTTCTGTGGAAGCTTGTTTCCACCACAGAATAAAAAATAAAAAAAGTAAAAACTTTGCAAAAACTTTTTATCTCAAAATTCAGACTGCGTTATTTGCAAGATTATTGTGAGATAGTTAAATAAATAAAAATGTCCTGAAATTCAGAATTTACATCTCGCAATTTGGCCTTTTCTTCTCAGAACTGCAAGTTTAGATCTCACAGTTCTAATATATTTTCTCAGACATGCAAGTTCATATCCCAGGCTTGGTAAAAAAAAAATATATATATATATATATATATATATTTAAAGTCCACTCTGTACAAACCTTTGCATCTAAAATGTCAACAAATTAAAACAAGAATTTTGAATGAACTGGCTCTGTTTGTGTGTCCGTGAGTCTCCCCGCTTATAACGTGCATTTGAAAAAGCAACACACATCAAACATCCTTCCCTTGTAATGAGAAGCGTTTCTAAACCTGCTGTCCAACAAAACAGAATGTTTTTACTCCACAACATCAGTCGAATGTTTGAAATAACTTCCTTTTGTGATCTGATGTGGCTTCTTATCACAGAATGAGGCATAAAATATACTGTAATAAAGGCTATGTCGATTAGCAATGGATTATAAATATACTTAATTATTATGAAAATACCTGAGATGGCTTGAAGAACACAGATAAACTATACATTGTTGCAGTCAAGTGTTTATTGTCTTCATGTTTCATCATTCAGAAAGTTTCTATCTTCTTTTCCTTCAGTTACAGCGACAGCTGACTGTCTTTGTCCATATTAGGGATTTCCTGGAGCGTCATCAGTTCTATTACTTCTGTGATGCACATGTGGAGCTTCTGTGCGAGGTATGAATGAAACATTACATGTGTTTATAGAGCTCAATAATGGCCAATCTATCCTATTTTGGGGGAAAATTGGAAAAATAATACTTCTCTTATAATAAATTTGAAGTAGACATATGATAATCCATGTTTTTCTCCACTGTACAAAAACATACAGGAGTTTATTGTTGTTGGTTTGTTTTACAAATCGCATTTTAAATCGCAAAAAACAAAACAAAAACCATGGTTAAAAACCTAGGTATGTATTGAACCGTGGCCTAACTGTATTGTTGCATCCCTACTGGAAATGTATGCAAATTAGTGTATATACAGAGTTCTGGCATGAAACTCTAGATGGCGCAGTCCGATAGGTCTAACTCAATCTGACCTAATGACATCATTATCACATGGCACAGCTGATTGGTTCTCTCCTGTATCGGTAGCCAATGAGCTCGCTGCTCAACATTCAAATATATGACTAGTGCTTGCCGTAGCAGTTGCAGCTTGCTTCAGAAACCCTCCACCTTCCCCAGCTCCACCTGTATAGATCTGCTACGAGGTGATTCATGTATGCTATATGGGGGTTATTTCATGTGTGTTATATTTGCAGCAGCAATATTTCTTACATGCTCACAGCAGCATGTTGTGGATGTATTGGCAGTAGCAAGTCTCGGTACTTGCTCTGCCGCAGCAACAGTGTAGCAGATCTATTCCGCCAAAACCAAATACATTAACATTGTCATGTACATTACCATGCCAATCCCTCCGAGAGTTGTCATGACAGAAATTTAATTAGATAATGCTTAATTTACATATTTATACAAAATTTCAGAAATTTTTTAATAGAATTTTTTTTTGCAATTCCTAATGTAATCAATCATCTGGGGAAGTATGATGATATATGTTTTTTTTTTTTTTTTCTGTTCACCTGGGGTGTCTTGCCATAAGTCGGCACACTATTTCCGTAGCAACTGGCTCGATGGGAGTTCAGCACTTGTCATGTCCTTTAAACCGTTATTTTTAAAGAGCCTGTTTCAAGATGGAGCTCACATTGAAAGGTTCCTTCATTACTGTCTTTAGAACAACCTTAAGAAGATTTAGCACGTTTTATTATTACATTACTATGAAATGTTTTGTAATACAAAGACAGATATTCTGTGTCAAAAGTTCATCCTGCAAATGCTTGTTAATACAAGCTGTATTAACAATACGAGTTGTTAATACAAAATGCCATCACTTACTGTTTTATTTCTTCATCCACGTTATTAATCTAATCTAATGGTCTGAATATTGAGAAGTCACTTACCAAGAACAGAGTCTCTATCTTTGCCACCGCTCTCCTCAGAAGGGTGCCCAGGTGGTCTCCAACCCCTGCTAACAGTATCCCAAACATGGGGATCCCCACCAGAGCATAAAATATACAGAACAACTGACCACCTTTTGTTTTGGGCGAGATGTTTCCAAAGCCTGGAGAAGAGGAGAACATGTGAAATCAAGCTCCTAAGATGGTGATATTCTAAAGTGAAAAATGTGTTTATCTCACCGATAGTGGTTATGATGGTACCACAGAAGAAGAAAGCATTGGATGGATCCCATCTGCTGGTATAATTTGATGTGCTTCTGGCATCCACACCTGCTTCAATGGCATCAACCACTTTCTTAAGTGAAAAGATGATATTTTATCAATTTGATCAATTTATCGATGATGCCCCAGTGTACATGTATATCTACACACACAGAGAACATTTTTATATTTATAATATAAAATACCTGTTGTTATTGTTAACTAAAACTATTACACATTTTTACAAATTTAAATGTTAATTAAAATAAAGCTCAAATAAAATTAAATATTAAAAAACAAACTTAAATATATAAAAAAATGAAAATTAGAAATGTTCTCTTGGTAAGTAATTGAAATAAAGTAATAACTAAAATAAAATATAAATAGTTAGAAATATTTAAAACAACACAATTAATAAAATGCAGAAAACATAAAATTTGTAAGAAATAAATTTACTATAGTATTTGAATACAATTGTATTTATTTTATATTTTTATTTTATATTTTCAGTTATCAGTTTTATATTTTCAGGTTTATTTTTTTATATATTTTTTTTTAGTTTTAGTAATTTTATGTGCTTTTGTAATTTTATAAATTTTTGTTGTTTTTTTAATATTTCTATTTAGCTTTTTTATTTTTTTTTTATTGTCTTTTTTTGTAATTTTAGTTAGTATTTCAACTTAAACGTATTTTATTTCAGTCACTTGCCAAGACATTTCTATTTTTAAGTTTTTCATCTAACACTTATACTTTATTTTAGCTTTATTTTAATTTTTAATAGCTTTACCAAGACAAGTATTGGTTATTTACACTGTAAATAATTATTTTTCAAGGCTGTAAATAAAACAAAGATTATTGGAGTATGTTTTACAAGAAAATACTATTTCTGTCTTTCTACATAATTTCATGTTTAATTCGGTGTGGTACTTGCCATTTCTTTGTAATTTGTGAAACTTACTAGCAATTTCTGAGCAAAAATAGTTTCTACACCAAATTTTTTCAGTGTAACAGATTCTAATTTCATTTAAGTTTTTTACGTTTAAGTTTTCAAACTGACCTCTGTGAACTCTCTCAGACTGTAAGGAGTGACGCAGCTGTGGTTCTGTAGGAAAGCCATTCGAGACGTCAGCAGCTCGCGGTGAGCCCATTCCTCCCTGGACGACTCCAGCCAGCCGAACACCAGAGCCCCCAACACCAAATACAGCAGCACAGCTGCCAGGATGGTCAACAGTGTTGTGTACCGCATGGCTACGAGGTGCTGATGACGTCAAACAAGATGCCACATACTGTGGATAAATGTTTTGGAAACATTGATAATCATGTGTCCATCAGATTAGGTGGAGCGAAGAGAAGAACGTCAAGGGAAACGGACACAATAATGAAATTATCTCTGGTTATCACAACAAATGAAGAAATGTGAGTGTGGTTTGACTAGTATTTGGCAAAGTACAGTGTCCCCAAAAAGTATTTAGGATCACTTAAAAGTAAGTTAAAATTACACTTAAAATATCAGAATGTCGTTGCAAAACAAATTATAAAACATTGTCACATTTTAAACAGTATCACTTCTTTTTGTGAAATGTTCTGCTTGAAAGTGTCTATGTTCCCTCTCTTTAAAATAAATGTCAGCTTGTTTGATATTTTATTATCTATTACAATGGCATTCATTTATTATTATGAGTGCATAAGTAACAATATTTCAAGGGTCACTGTATATGTAATAGAAAACCGAGATTAATTATACCTTATCAAAGAAGTTTTTCCAAATCCACTGTTTTCTCCATTTCCTCCATATTAGATGTTTGCTGTAGTCATCTATACACTCTTCGTGTCACAGCCTCTTCCACTGGTGCTCACAAAAACCTGTGAGACATAATGGTCAAAAAATGCTCTGAACACCCTGAAACTGACTCCAGATCAGCTTTGAGCTTCGGGAGGTTTGACCCAGTCCAGACACACAACAGGAGAGGGGTTAAGGAACAGAGGTAAGAAGACAACACATGACGGCATTGAAACAGAACTTCTGGCAGAGGTCTATGTAAACAAATTGATCTACGGCACTCTGACAGGATCTTGATGCTCACCAGGGCTCTCTAGGGCTTGCTTTGTAGACGCATGGATACCGTATATTATGGTATACATTATGTTGTCACTTTCAGTATTTGCAATCATTTGTTTTACTTTACTGTGTTATGTTTTACATTGCATTTATTATGATCATAAATATGCACAACTTGCGTGTGTAAAATTATTAAGAATTATGTTTTTGTTTTTTGTCTTTCTGCAAAGAACATTAATAAAAACAATATAGACAATTATAGATGGATAAAACACAAATAAAATTTAAAAAAAGGTCAAATATATTGGAATAAAAAACTGTGTTGCTCCCAAGATCGGGTTGAAGCCTTTCATTTATTAAAATAGAATGACTTTGATATTACAGATAATAGATGTTTCTCAGACCTTACTTTATTAACCAAGTAGCCTAATATATATTGATACAACCTATAATAAATAGACTTTCATACTATACAATGTCTCTATATGCTTAAGATTTACATTCAAACAAAGCAAATTCAATAAAAATTCATAATTCATCTTTACTCTCAGAAAAAAAAAAAAGGTACAAAAGCGGTCAGTGGGGTGGTTCCTTTTTAAAAGGTACACCTTTGTACCTGATTTACCCCTAAGAGGTGCATATTAGACCCTCAAAGGTACATATTAGTACCCAAATGATACATATTTTGAAAAGGTACTGCTTCAGAGACAGCTTTATTTATGTAGAGTGTTCCACATGCAAAGGGAATTATTGTTATGGTTTCATTTTTTATTATTAGCAATGCAGCAGGCACTAAAAAGTATCTGCTCACCTTAATATCTACTTTCAAACGTTAACTATTCGTTCAATCAGTGTAATGCTTCACAAAACACCATTAACATACATGTAAATGTTATCTTACCTCAGTTCGTGGTGGGTGAGGAGTTCCCTCTCTCCTGCAGACCACTGAGGATACATACACTCATCAGGACTTTCCCCATTCCCAAGTCTTACGTGAACCTGCCAACACGAGAGAAGAAAAAGAGCAAGGAAGAGACGGAGAGAGGAGGGGAGGAGAGAGGACTGTTTGGCAGAGACACAAATGAAAGCTGACAGTTTATTCATCTGTTTCAGGTGTTTAAAACATTTTTGTTGAGCGCTCATCTCATCTTTCAATGTAAACCACTGGGGTTATGTCATTTTAAACGTTCTAGGAACATTCTCTGAAGGTTCTTTTGTAAACAAAAATTAACGTTCCCAGAACATTTTGGCAATCCAAAATTTATAACTGGGTTCAATATTTGTCCATGTGCCCGAATTATAAACCTGAGATTATAAATTCTATCCTTATTTGCGCGTATTTTATAAGCCTTGAAGAATGTAATAAAATGAATGCAGGTGATATGATCGCGTATTATAATTCTGGATGCTGATTGGTCAATGCAGCTTGCAGCCGTGCTAAAATAATCAATAGACCTTATGTAGCCCCGCCCCTTTTCAGCAATTTAGGTTTGTATTTCCGTAGTGTGAAGGTAAGGTCGTACGAATTAATGAACGAACTGCTCGTTTAAAAATCTTCCCGGTCTACTGACATTTGTTATGACATCCGTTTCGAACATTCCCTTACAAAAATTAACCATGGTTTTACCACAAAAAACAAAAACAAAACATGATTACTAATAGTTAAACCATGGTAACCACAAATTTACCATGGTTTTGCTACACTAAGCATAGTTTAACCATGGTATTTGTAGTAAAACTATGGTTATACTAATGGTAATCAATAGACAAAAAAAACATGGTTACTACACTTTTACTACAATAAAACCATGGTTAATATTCACAAGGGTTAGAACGCACGTGATGACTTTCGTTAACTCTAAAATAAGTAAATCCACTTCACCAGCGATGCTACCGCAAAACGGAAGTTCAAAGACAAATTTCTAAAGATGGCGCGCAATTGTTTCACTGGCGCGTAAGGTCTATACGTTTCCAGTCGAGAAACCGTGCTATATCGTAAATAGTTCAACAGTAAACAGTTCTTCAGTAGTGTTGCTTTTATGAAACACTGACTAGATAAAATACTAATTACACACATATTAATTAGAATTTAAGCAATTTCATTAAACACAAAATTGCACCTAACCTACTGAATGGATTGTACAGCCTAGTTTTTATTTGTAAAAATGAAATACACCTCCCCGACTTCTCTTAGCTCAATAAAATACTGTTTTAATGGAAATATGTACAGTATAAATAAGGACATAAATTGCCTTAATCATTTTATAAAAGCAATAAAGCTCTCAAGGCTGTGCATTTTTGTATGTGTGTATATATATATATATATATATATATACACACACATTACAATATAGCACAACCTTCATACCTAAAATAGTGACGTCAGCTATGGTAATGACCAAGCTCTAAATGGACTGGACGTCTGTCATCTGTGGACAGAAGTGCAATGCTAAATCAACGTCAAACATTAAAGCTCAGAATTCAAAACATTCACTGTAAGGACCGCAGTGGGCCCTCTGGAACCAGTCAAAACTCAGGAGAGAATAAACAGAACCCTGACCGAGCTGATGCAAAGACCAAAATGGCCTTTAAATCCTTTAAAAGCTCTGATATGTGATATCACATTTCTAGACATGCCTTTGATTTCTGCTCCAACAATGACTAACATTTGGCTTTTGAAAACACAACTGCATAACACCGTATTCATGAGCTATCTTAATCTATTACACTATTCTGCAAAACAGGTTGTACTTTAACTGTGGAAATTACTTGTGACCGAAGGAGGTTTGTGTAATGACATTATGCCAGCAGTACATTTCTTACAGATGAGTAGAAATGTTGTGAACCAGAGGAAAGCATCCACTGTCGAACAACCTGTTCAGCCAAAAGTCACACATGGAGTGTCTTTAAAAATACAGAGAGCTGAAGTGTTGTACATTACACTCTCTAAATGACTGTGATCAAGGTTTGGATAACATTCGCTTTCACGTAACTAAGCGCTGAATCCACTTTGTTTAGAAAGGCTGCATGAATCTGCTGCCCATGAATCTTACAAATTTGATGAAAAATTTGTCACAAAATTATGGTGTAAATGCCATTTCAAATTCACAAATAAAATGTATGGAAATTAAATAAAGATCCACAAATAAATTATGTTAAAAAATGAAAAACTCACAAAGGAATAAAATGACATTAGGATGTGAGCACTATGTAATGGAAAATAATGAACAGTAAAGCAAAGTTGAATTAATTTGAGTGTCATTTGCAATAATGACTGGCTGACTGTATTGCATGGCTAATTACCAAACAAATCAATAAAAGGACATGAAATATTGATATGAGCTAATATGATTTAAATATGAGAATAGAGTGTGTATGAGACAATTGAAACATGCCCACCTTTGTAGGAAATGATAGTCAATCATACAGTTTATCAGATATTATACAAAAAATATTTAACAGAATGCTGTGATTGACCAATTAAAATGAAGTATCTTCAAATTGTAACGAAGTAAACTCCAAATTTTGCTGCTACAGATTTCTACAATGGAAAAAAAAAAAAACACAACAACACATGGATATTTGGATTTCATTTACGTTTAATAAATGTAAATATTCCAAACTGAAAATCCTACAAACCATTTGACATTTAGAAGAAACACATTCAAGCAAAAGTATACACAAATACACAGATGACAGTGAATCAAATAAATAGATTAATCTAATCAAAAACGTATCCAAGTTTCTCAAATGCTTCATTACAAACAGACAATGATATAAATACTCCACTGTGGATTATAAAGCTGTTAGATGACAGAGAGAGAGAAAGAAACAGCCTGACAGTGAATCGCCATACAAGGATCGGAAACAGGCTCAGGTTGATCTGAGTCATAACACACACTCACACACTCTCTCTCTTGCAGTAGTCACAAAGGCAAGTCTTCAGGACGCGTCTACCAATAAATAAGACTATTCACAAAATTCAAGTCTCATAAAACAGGGGCTAACAACACCTCTACGCAAACAAAAATATGTTACATTGGTATTTCAAAGCTAAATTATAAAAGGCTCCAACACTCAAAACTATACAACTTTAATATGCACAATAAGGCATTGCTTTTCAGCTATGAGAACTATCAGGAAAAAAAAGATCACAAAACTTCAATGTCTTTAAATTCTACATCACATAACACAGGCAGCGCTCAGATCCTCTCAAGTGTCATGGTGAGCAGAAGACACCCTTGACACGTACATTAGGATTAAAGAGGCAGTGAAATTCCTTCAGCATGGAAACCTGAGAACAAAAACAGATTATGCTGATCTGAAATGAGTTATATTAGAATAACTGGTGGAAATGCTTCTCTTAATGCATTACAAACATGTATTGCAAAGCATGCGCAGTAATTACCTATGGGAGATATCAGGTGTGTATGAGTATTATGGCTCGATGTCATCATCTTCCTCCTGGGGCGTGGCTTCTCTGCGTGGGAGGGGCATTGCATCAGTTCCCAGAAGCCCCCTACGCAGGACGTATGGACAAGCGGGCCCGCTGGGAATGTCAGCAAATCCTTCAGGAGATAAAAAGCCCATTAAAGGAATAGTTCACCCAAAAATTTAAATTTGCTGAAAATTGACTCGCCCTCAGGCCATTCAAGATGTAGATGAGTGTTTCTTCATCTGAACAAATTTGGAGAAGTTTAGCATTACATCACTTGATCACCAATGGATCCTCTGCAGTGAATGGGTGCTGCCAGAATGAGAGTCCACACAGCTGATAAAGACATCACAATAATCCACATGACTCCAGTCCATCAATTAACGTCTTGTGAAGTGGAAAGCTGTGTTTGTAAGAAACAAATCCATCACAAGGCATTTTTAACTTCAAACTGTTGCTGCCAGCTAAATTTAATGCAAAATTTCTCCAAATCTCTTTCGATTAATAAACTAGCTCATCTTGGATGGTCTGAAGGGGAGTACATTTTTAGCAAATTTTCATTTTGAAGAATGTTTGCACTATTCTGGTTTTTAAAGTAGCATCTAACCTTTCATAACAACCTCTGGCAGGCCATATGGTTCGTATTCGGTCTCGTCGTAAGCGGCAGACATGCGGCTGCGGTTTTGCCGGATGCGTTCAGCAAGGTGAGCTGGGTTATTCATGGGGAACATGCTGGATAACAGCAGTTGGTTTGTAACAGACTGTGGGGTCAGAGAGAGGGGCGGTGAGTCTGCAGGCTCTTTATCGCCTTTATCTTGCACCGTCTCCAGCTGATCTCCATCTTTTTGGGTGCAGGCATGGACGGGTGGCTGTTTGTCCCCCAAAATGAGCTCTTGGCTCTCCTCTGTCTGAGTGGATACACTCATCACCTCTGTTCTGACCTTCCTGACCTCTACCATTTGGCACTGTGCAGATTCATTCTTGATTGGTTTTTCCACATGTTTGTTCTTTTCATCTGTTGTTTCTCCATGACAATGTCCTTGTTTATCCAAATCAACAGTTTCCATGGTTTCAATCTCATTATGATCAGTGCATAACACATCAGAATTCTGGGAGTCTGTAGTCCCATAGGACTCTGTGAATGGATTTGACTTGATTACCTCGGTCTGATATTTGGTTGTGATGGAAACACTGATTAAGGCATCTTTCTGGCTGTCCGCACTAGCATCTGCTACCTTGGTCTGATCCTCGGGAGACACTGAGGCAATCGGCTGAGAATCTGAATTACTGTAATCTGTTGGTTTGGTCTGTGGAGGTGACAGCTTGTCTTTAGTATTACTACTCATTATATCTGAGACCCAGACAGGAGGGCTTTTGTGGCTTTTGTAGTTAAAAGAGCTGCTTTCACATCTGTATTCAGCATGTTCTTTGGTCATTACATTCTCATTTCCAGTTGTAAGATCCTGAAAACAATTAAATGAATAGGTCTGTGATCATTTGAATGGCATTTTATTGCAGACAAAAAGAAAGGTCTGTCATCATTTACCAAATTCTTATTATGACTATATTAGAGCTGCACAATTTGGGGGGAAAGAAATCCTATTGTGATTTTTCAGATAAAAATTGCCATTTGAAATGCAATAAAAAAAATTATGATTTTATTTCATAGTACTGTAACATCAATACTAATATTTATGGCTGTCTTAAAGGGGTCAGGAACTGAGAAATCAAAATTGTCTTGATCTTTTGACATATTAGAAAAACATCCTGTAAGTTTCAGAACTCAAAACATTCTTGTTAGTCTAAAAACAGCTTATATTGAAACCAATCTGCCAAAACGACAGGTTGTTGAATGTGCCAGTTTATGACGTAATAGTGTGGCTAAACACCGCCTCCGCAGAAGATCAATGCCTGCTTCTACATCACTGACTGTTTAGCCCCGCCAATGCACTTTTGTTGTCATTTTCCCTAATCATTTTCACTGTATAAAAAAGGCAATGAAAAATTTTTATACAGGTCTGGAGTGGCATGAGGGAAAGTAAGCGATCACAATTTTCATTTGTGGAAATCTATTCTTTAAAAGTACAGTTCCACACTTTCAACAGTTCAATAGTTCAACAATTTTCCATATGTAAATAATGACACGCGTTATGAAATGTTATTTACCTCAACAGGTCCTTGAGATTCTCTCACATCGTGTGTCATTTGTGTTTCAGGTGACACATGCTCCCCTAAGTTGGTCTGGTCATTCATGTCGACTAATCCGGACCGATGTGTCATATCTCTGACAGTGCACTGGAGCATCTTGGTTCTACAGCAGACAGAGCACAGACTGAAGGGTCTTGCATTAAGGGTCCTCTATAAACATCCCTCATTCACTGAACCTATGTTTACCTTCCCTATCTCAGGATCAACATACCCATAATTCACGGTAAGTACCTCAACACTGCCTTTATAATTATTATGAACAAACACTGTTTACATCACTATGTCGCTTATCGCATATTTATCTTCAACAAATGCCAGTCACGGGACATTACCTTGTCATTTGGGACTGCGTGTGCAGCTTTCTTGGACTGCAGGGGAGGTACAGCTCGAACTCTTTTAGCACGATGGAGGGCGAGTTGTTGCCCACTGTTTCTTCCGAGAACTTCCAGAGTTCTAGTTCTTCAGCTTGTTTCCTGTTCTGCTCAGAGAGGTGCTGGATTTGCTCTTGTAATGCCTGGATCTGGAGGACACAGAGAATAAGAATCAAAAAGAATAAAATTAACATGACCTTAATGTACTGTACATCTTTGCAAATAAAGGAGTTTTCTCAATTAGTTAATCTTGGGAATAATACTCGGGTTAAGGGTTTGTCTAAATGTGCAATAACAGTAGTGGAAAATTACTGGACTATGACATGCTTTGATGTGACAGTACTTCATCTGCTATTCATTAAGTCATTTAGTCTGCGCTCACTGAAAGTGAAAATGCTGCATGAAGTATGAAAATCACAACCAATCAGAACATACTTTTAGTTTCACAGTTTAATATACAGTTGTGGGATATTAGAAAAATTTGAGTTTACTGTGGGAGGAGATACACAGCACAACACACACACACACAAAAAAAACACAAAAAAAAACAAATGTCTTATTGTGTTCATAGCTGATTAGGACAAGTTCACTGATTAACATGGAGGGATTTATCACTTACTGCTTTATCACATTGCACCCTAGTTAGGAGACAGTGGCATAAATTTTCTTCCATGTTGTCACGTACATCTATGTGAAACAGATTATTGAAAAAGAAAAAATAAGGGGTGGGGCCTGGTTCTATCCATTGGATGTTGATTGGACGAAAGCATATCTGAATATTAACTTGCAATCGATGTTAAGAAAGGGGCGGGGTTTAAATAGTAGTGATGCACGATATTGGATTTTTGCCGATATCCGATATGCCGATATTTTTCAACTCATTTTGGTCGATACCGATACAGTATATTTCCTTTTGTTTGGAAACAACACCAAGTTTCTCCTGTGCAGAAATTATAAGCAAAATATTTTTAATTTTGGTTAGTTTTTAACAAGAACTTATTTGTTAGAATTAAATAAACAATAATGAAGGTTTTTTGACAGTACATTGAAGCTTTGAAAATAACTATAAATAAGCTATATATCAATCGCTGCATTTTTTTTCCCCAGAAAGATGCAGTGTTAACTAGGGTTGGGTACCGAAACCCGGTACCAATATGGCACAGGTACCTATGTAACCGGTATGTACTAGAACCGAATCCGAACGCAGATTTCGGTGCCATGCCTGAGCAATCGATTGAAATATTTGTCCTCTGGTTCTCCGAAACGGACGTAAGAAGCATCATCACTGGCACCGCACGTGAAAAATA